GCCTTCTGGACGCCTCCCTGGTGAGGTGTTCCGGGCATGTCCCACTGGGAGGAGGCCTCAGGGCAAACACAGGACACGTTGGAAAGACTATATGTCCCAGCTGGCCTGGGAACGCCTTGGGGTTGCCCCAGAGGAGCTGGAGGTGTGCTTGGAGAGGGAAGTCTGGGGGTGACCCGGCCTCGGATAAGAGGAGGAAGATGTAATGGATTACGTTACATTTGTTGTCATGTAATTTGGAATCAGTAACGGATTACAATTTTCAAGTAATCTACCCAGCTCTGCTAAAACATTACTGTTGTTATTAATTATGCACATTGTGTTTTTTTTTTTTATTTGCCCACAAATTAAATTCACTAATGCATTCTAGGCATTACTGTCAAAACGCAGACATAAAATTATTTACAACGGTTTCGCATTTCGGTCATATCATATGACACATAAAAACGCCTCTGTCATAAAACAACCGATACTGATAGACCTCTAGATTTGTAGTAATAATGATCATCCACTAATAACTACGTCTGCAGCAAAGCCCTAAATCGGTTCATAAGATACAAAGGGGTGCTCTAGTTCACCAGAAAGATCACAGCGCCAATCAGTTGCTGCACCCGACAGGCTAAAAAGCTAACATCAGTTAGCCAACAGCCTCAATTAGCGGGCTCTGCTGGCCTGCTAGCACTTAGGATGCACCAACTTTCTTTTACTGAACAACGGTTAAAATGTGAGAAAGATATTTACATAGCCACAATCATTGGTTTATTGATAGTTATATGTTCAAAGCGCAGCCGCTATGGGTGCTTGGTCGCGCTCAAACATTGAACACACAGCGGCGGGCGAGAGAGAAGCGCCGAAGAAGGGCAGCACGCGCTTCTTCGGTGGTAGTTTGGCGGAATCCGCCCGTTAGCAAAGGGCGAATGTCTCCCCCAGTAGAGTCTCCGAGACGACAGGTACAACTAAATTACAGGAACTGTAGATAACCTTGGATTAGTCGCAAAAAACATTGCTCCCGTAGGACAAAATAAACAACTCACCGATTACGGCCTTCTCCTTTCGTATCTGTCATAAATGTTTTTAGGAACGTCTCAACAAAACGCGACGTAATTGGTCCGCAGCACTTTTCAAGTCCGCCAATAGAATTCCACTGAAGTCAAGCGCGCTTGCAAAAACACGTCATCTCCGGTTTAACGCCAGTAAAGACATTACTAAGCAATTCATTAAGTATTAATGGTGTGTAAATTATAAATAATACATTTAATAACTTTTATATTAAAAATGATGTAGAACCACATTATTGCCTAAATGCAAACCTTTTTGGAATTCATTATATGATCAGATTGAATGGAATTTACCCAGTAAATAGCCTACTGGCTCACCAATAAAGTTAAAGAAGTTAGATATAAAGTTATTCATTTGATTTACCCAGTGAGACAAGTAGTCGCAACATTTTTTTAGAGACATAGAGACTACATGCATCTTTTGTAACTTAAAGGAAGAATCCATAAAACACTTATTTTATGATTGTGTATTTACCCAGATGTTTTGGATTGATATTGAATATCTCATATTTAAATGTATAAAATTAAAGACTCGGTTCTATGGTAAAGATATATATTTTTTGTTGTATAAAAATAAGAGTTTGGAGCAACATTTAGTGATTAATTTTATAGTTATGTATGGGAAATACCATATACACAAAGAAAAATGGACTAATAATAAACCTATTTATAAACATTAATAAACGTTATTTAAAATGTAACTTAAGGATTACATTGAAGCCGTAAAAGATCTAAGCAAAAAGGATGTATAGAATTTTTGAATGCTTTTCTTATGGAAAATGTCTTGTAAGTTATCCCCTGTTGTTGTTGTTTTCTTCTGTTTGTTCATTTGATGCTATTATGAATGTAATTGATAATAATTGAAAACACTGTGATCCTCTATATGTGTATGTTGTGTTGCTGTTCTTGTTGTGCAATTGAACAAAAATCAGTAAAGACATTAAAGTTAGAGAAATGTCCTTTAAAATATCAAAATCTATGACTGACGTTTTTAATTGGATGTTGAAAATTCTTTAAAAAATCATATTCACTGAACAAAAATAAAGTACATTATATTCATTGAACAAGAATTAATTCCTATAAAATAAATGTTGTAGCCTTTTTTGGACGTCTCTAACTCTGTCAGCAACCTTTATTTTGTTTTTTTTATACAAACGGAGTTGCATGATATAGTACATCATATCATTGATTACAATAGTATTATTTGTTTTATCATACAGTTCATAAACAAGATTCAACGATATGGATCGGCTTTGAATGGCATTAGAAACAAAAATCAAGAAAGACATGTCATTGTACTGTAGGCACAGCTTATTATTTAGTCAGTTGACATTTTTTGACATCTGGTGTGAGATTGTATTCATTTTATATATGGTTTAAAAAAATCTAACAAAAATGATTGCAATGAACATAGTTTAATAATCATGATTAACCCTTTTACATTTATCAGATTAAAAGATTCTAGCCACAGAGGTTTTGGAGGTTCTAACAGAAAAGTTGTTGCCGTTGTTTTAAAGTTAAAGAAATTAAACTTGTTTATTAATTGGAGGACAAGCACAATTGTAGGCCTATATTAGATGGAATATGTTTAAAGTCCTTTAGTCAAATATCAAGTGACAAGTCAATGTTTCATTAATATGCCATAGGAGTGTATAATCCATTTAGCTTACATAAAGCAGTTCAAAATCTTTGACAAATAAATCATTTTTTCATCAGCTGTAAGTCTAAAAGTTAAGGTGCTTTGCAATTCTTTTAGACAGAAGCATTTCGAGGAAATGAGTGATGAGACTACAGAAATGACAGGAAGTTCAAGTCAGAGAGGTGACCGCATATCTGCTGAAACAAACACTCCATTAGTATTCAGAGTATGACGGCTCAGTGGCTTATAGAGTAATCAAACTTGTGCCAAAGGACTTGAGCTGAGCTCGGTCTCCTCTAATGAAAAAAGTAAGGTTATATTGCTTCTAGAGTGAATGAAATAGTGGCCACAAGGGGTAGGCCTATTGTTAGTCATACAGTTGTAATGACTGCACACCATATTGCTAAAAAAGGTGCATTAATTAATAATGTGAAATCGATGGACAAAATACAGTAGTGTTACACCTTTTTGAAAAGAGAAATTGAACATTTTCATTTGTGGACTCGTGGAAAAATTAATGCAGTGAGATCAGACTGAAAATAATGATTTTAAGGTCAAACCAACACAAACAACATTAACATATATTTTTTTCATGATTTAATCTCATCTCCACCCTCTAATCTGAGCTAATTTACAAATGTTATTACCTCGTCAGTGTGTGAATAGAGGACAACAGAGACTTCCAAGACCTCCTGATTGGCTTTTGTTGTCAGGGGCTTTTCAGTGCACTGTGATCAGTCTAAACACATAGTTGTGCTGCACTGAAAGTCTACTCCGAATCAAACATCTGGTGCCATTATTCTTTGAATGTCAGGCAATGCAAATGTCCTACATTCATACAAATGCAATAAGGCATAATCATGACCCTCAGCTGAAGCTATGAGTTAAGAGGAAAATAAAGCAACTGAATTTTGAAGGATGTTCAGATTCAGACACTGGTGATCAAAAACATTGAGTGTCTCCAACCTTAATCTGCCCTTGACAGAATTTGTGTTATTCTCTCCCTTTAACAAACACCTAAAAAATGTTATTTTTATTCAGAATGTTCTGCAACGTAGTATTTTGTACCCAATATTCATAAAGCTACATCCACCCTTTAACAAATGCAGGGTATCTGCATGTTTCAGATAATGAAATTGAAGACAATAGTATTAATGGCAATTACTAAAATGATTTTGAGACAAAAAATGTTTTTTTAATATATGGTTAAATACAGTAATAGTTAAATGCATCCTTGCTGAATAAAAGTATTACATTTCTTTCAAACCTATTTTCAGTTTTGAATGGCGGTATACACTTGGTACAAATGGTGTTTTCAGGCCTTTTATATATCGTTCCATTAAATTCAAAACCTCCACAATTTATTAATCCATTTCCTGTGTTATTTTGAACACTTATGGCCTTTAATTTAAATTTTTTTTTTATTAACAATTGGATAATCCAACGGTAAATAAATAATTGAACCCACAAAGACATTTTATAATTTTAATAATGAGTTTATTATTTATACCAACAAACAAAAACATTGTTTATCTCTCCCTCTCTCTCCCCCTTTAACCGTTCATCTTTTGACTGATGGGCCGAGCAGCCTGTGTGTGGTAGTGTGTACCTGCCCTTTCCAGAACATTCCATCAGACAATATTCCAGAGTTGAGATATGAACGTTACACCAAATGACATCGCACACACAAACCCCTCCCCCATCAGTTTGTTAAAAACAGAATCAGACAGCAATACAATAAATAAAAGGATCAGAATTAACACTGATGAGGAGGGGGAAGGGCAGGCAGGCGGGCGGACGAGGAGAGAGAGTAAGAGAAAGAGACTGAGAGAGATCAGGTAAAACAACATTTTGTTCAGATTCGTCTTTCTCCCCGGATGCAGGGAGAGGCTGGATGAAATGTTATATACAGTTGTATGTTGAAGGGATAGGAGGAAGGAAGGAAGGAGGGAGGGCGAGAGAGAGAGAGAAAGAGATAGAGAGACCGCGAAAGGCTGGTTTTCGCTCATACCAGCACTGCTCCACTAGGAGAAAAATCTAATTACAAGGACAACAGAATAACAATAACAAAAATAACAAAATAAAAGGTACATGGCATTTACATATTAGCAATGAGAGAGGAGGAGACAGGAAGGATGGAAGAAGGGAAAGACAACCAGCTCCAGTCTCGTTTGCTAAGTGTTCATGGTGTGTGTGGGCTCATGTATCAATGTGTCTTTTGGATGAACATCCGCTAAATCCACATTTAACGGGCATGCCGATGTATATAAACACACATATACACACACACACACACACACACACACACACAGTGTACACTCCGCAATGCACAACTGTAATCAATCAGAACAGCTAACACAGCTATTGATGGGATTGGCCTACCCGTTATATGTGTGTGTGTGTGTGTGTGTGTGTGTGCATGCACAAAAACAAACTAAAGTGAGCACGTTTTTATAATGAAACCAGATAAACCCTGTCTCAACTTATCCAAGTATCTAAATATTCTCCTTAAAAGAAATTAAAACACAAAAGAGTGTGCAATGATTGCTTAAAATTGACATTCGCACATATTAAGACACCCATTTTCGTCTCTTGACACACAGACACTGACATCTCACGCTCGCTGCTTCATAAAACACATCGCAGTCCTTGCTTTTGTGCAAGAACTCCCAAAGAAAGCTAAAATGTATTCCTTTAAGAGCAAAATTACATTTAAATGAGCTTGATATCTCATATCATTGTTTAAAAGTCAAATGGATGGTACCAGAGGCAGAGAGCAGTAACTGTGCGGTGCTCTTCCTGCCACTAGGGGGCACGTGTGCCCTTAGCGGCCCTTCACAGTCTTTAAACCTAAACATGACAATCATCAAAATAAATCTGAATCGACCTCATTATCTCCTCCTGTGATGATTGATGTCATTAATCTGGGCATCACACACTTCTTCCATCATGGGAGAACATGACCACACATAACACGAGGTGACAAGTGTGTGTTTGTGAGAGAGCGTGTGCAAGAGAGACTGTTTGGAGCTGCTTTTGGGAAGGAGAGAGGAATGAGAAAGAAGGGATGAGGAGAGAGGGCTGACGACGTTGCAGTAATGCCAAGGTAACAATCAGGTGTTGTTGCTCAGGGGTCCCGGTGCTGAGCTAGACTGGGCTGGACCGTCTGAACCGCTGCCCTCTGCAAGAGACACATACATATTATGGAGTTAATAAAAATACTGCAGGACATGTGGATTCACAAATCCATACGGACTGACAGAAAGGGTAAATCAAAGGCATTTGGTCTGTATGTGGGATCAGTACCGTGTGAGGCAGGTGTCGTCTGCGAGCGAGCATGGGGAGGAATGAGAATGGAGTTCAACTGTGGTTGGATAGACAGCTCTGCGTGGGGGGGGGGGCAAAGAAGACAAAGTTAGCCATCGATATCTAAATGTGTCAAAACCCTAAATAGCTTTACTTGCGTCATAGAATGTGAAAGCAGTTTCAAATTACAAGCAGCAAAATTATTACCTTCCAAGTCTCCTAAAAGCCTAAATTTGATGCATGGGTTGTGACGAGCTCAAGAAAAAGCAACGTTGAATTACAAAATGTACCATTTATACATATACCCAGTATTTGCAGAGCTCCAGACCAAAAAAAAAAAAAAGACTAGGGAACAACTGGCTCTTAAAATGACTTTTTTTAGCTAGCAAATTACAGAATCACTCAACATAGATGGTGCTGACATTTTTGCTTAAATTCACTTTTCAGGATTTAAGTTCAAACTCTGCCATCGGTGTAAGTGTGCAGTACATTGTTCCAATAGACACTAAAAGTATAAATACATTGAGTGCACTTCAGCTCACTGAATAGCAAGTTTATAGTTAGCTGATTTTTAACAAACAGACATGACCATCGGCTGTGTTAAAGTGACAAACTGATCCCAAAAGCCTCTGCATACCTTTATTGTAGTGAATTGTCTGTAAAGTGAAATAATACAATGTTTAAGTTATACACACTTAAGTTGTATACACTGCCATTCAAAGGTTTGGGGTCAGTAAGATGTTTGAATGTTTTTTAAAATAAGTTTCTTGCTCGCCAAGACAGGATTTATTTGATCAATAACACAGTAAAACCAGTAATATTGTGAATTTTTTACCATTTAAAATAACAGTTTTCTGTTTTAATACACTTTAAAAATGTAATTTATTCCTGTGATGCAAAGCTGAATTTTCAGCAGCCATTACTCCAGTCATATGAGTGTCACATGATCCTTCAGAAATCATTCTAATATGCTGATTTGGTGTTCACGAAACATTTCTAATTATCAATGTTGAAAACAGTTTTGCTTAATATTTTTGTGGAAACAGTGATTATATTTTTTAGGATTCTTTGATAAATAGAAAGTTCAAAAGAACAGCATCTATTTGAAATATATATATTTTCTTTACTGTCACTTGTTTTGATCAGTAAAATGCATCATTACTGAATAAACGTTCATTTCTTTACAAAAAAATTAACAATACTGACCCAAAACATTTGAATGGTAATTATAATTCAAAATTCTAATTGATCAAGAAAGCTTTATTTCAGTGTATATGCAGTAATCAAGACATATAATCTAATAAGATTTGTGCTTTGCTAATCAGGATATTTCTGTTGGTGTGCAAGAATGAAAAGTGCAAGCTGCTATGATGTTCAAATCGTGAATCAATGACTTACGAATCGGTTCCGATTACGCTCAATCTAACATACTTATTCACAGAGCAGAGAGTCATTTTTGATTAACCGAAAACCACTGGTCTGCTGTATTTATTTTTAGGTACATTAGAATTAAACCAGTCTAATTACTGACTGGTTGTTAATTTGACAACGTGCAGTTAAGTTAAAGACACGTTCACAACAGGAAAAAAAGCTTTACAATAATGAATGGTATACTAATTAAAGGTAACAAACATTTTTAGCATATATAAGGCCAAGCGTAAGGCTAAAATAAGCAATGCTTAACCTTTTTTTTTTTAGGAACATTAATAGTTCCATCAATTTGGAACTAAATACTTTTTTGTTGTTGTTCCATGTAAACATTGTATTCACATACTGTTTGTGCTGCTATTTTTAGTTGCTTATTAGAATAGTCACTTCTGAAACAACCATGTGTGTCAGCATTTACAAAAATCCACATGACCAAGAAATGTTTCTTGGGCTGGTCAGGCGGATTTTTGTAAATGCTTTTTATATTGCTTTCTATAAAGAACATCTCAGATCAGACACTCATGATACAATCTGGATAAAATACTGTCGTAGGCGTTAGACAAAATTAGCTCTTTAGATACAAGTACTGCCTCAACATACTAAATTGTTAGAGATTTTCAAATGAGTACGAGATAAAAAGACAAATACATAGAAAGAGAGAGCGTGAGCCTCCGACAAGACTTAGTCTGAATAAAAGTGGCAGTTCTTTCAGTTCGACTCACCCACAGGGCTGAAGTTGAAGAGTTGGGGAAGTTCTCGGCCATTAGGCAGACGGGCATTCGGCTGGCGTAGCTCGTCAAAGAAGGCGTGTGCACAGGCCTCCAGCGGAGAGAGCCGTGTCACCGGTGTGTACTCCAACAGACGAGAACACAATGAGATGGCTTCAGGAGGGGTCCTCGGCTTAAACACCTAACACAAACGCACAGAATCACAGGGAAATATCACATCTGACCATTTAAAAAAGAAAGAAAGACCAGTTTAAAAATGAAGTTTCAGCCTAAACAGTTTTGGAGGGCCAAAATCATTGACCGGAACAGTGGTGTTAAATCAGCGCTGATCAGATGCCATGTTTTGACTGTGTCAGCAGCTATTTCATGCAAACAATGTGGATAAGCCACAGGTAAACATGTCAGCTGTGTGGACACTATGGCTGGTACGTCAATTTAGATCCATCTTCAATTTAATGAAACATGATTGTTTAGTCTATGGTGTTTTCAGTTGATGTTAGGCATGGGCCGATTACCGGGTTCAAGGTATACCGCGATTTGAAAGTTTCAAAACCACTAACATTTTCTGTTATACCGTTCCTGCGGTATGCGCCGTTTTTCATGTCTCCTCAAAGACTGAAAGTGTAGGAATCCCTCAGGTTGAGTGCAGTGTAGAGAATAACACAAACAAAATATGTAAACAAAATATGAAGTCTGTAAATGGGCGTTAACAGAGGCCAGAGACGCTGAAGATGGACGCACATAGAAAAATACTGTAGCAGGCAGATCACTCACTGTTCCTGATGCACAAACTATTGGAAGAAATCCTCAATATTGATTTGGGGGTTTATATGAATGTGTTTCTGAGGGGAACTGACTGTCTTCAGAAAAGTTTACGTGGTATTATGTGGTTTCTTTTCATCTCGTCTCTGTATAGTTCATATTACAGCAGTGTTTCAACGCAGCTACTTTGTTTACAGCGGTAACCAAGGAAACACTGTATCTGCTGTTCCATAAGCGCCTCCTGCTGTCAGAGAGTGAATCTGCATCTCATTCAGAGCTTCTGCTGTTTTTTTCGTTCAGGCATGTAGTAGAATTTCACATAGCTAGTCAGAACATTGTTTTTGCATCAAATTGGGTTATTATTAAATCAAATTATGTATATGAAATTATATAACTAAATGATATGTATATGAATTATATAACAAATTAAACTGTAATGTCTTTATTTTTCATCTTTTTAGGGCAGCGGTTTATATGAATGTGTTTCTGAGGGGAACTGACTGTCTTCAGAAAAGTTTACGTGGTATTATGTGGTTTCTTTTCATCTCGTCTCTGTATAGTTCATATTACAGCAGTGTTTCAACGCAGCTACTTTGTTTACAGCGGTAACCAAGGAAACACTGTATCTGCTGTTCCATAAGCGCCTCCTGCTGTCAGAGAGTGAATCTGCATCTCATTCAGAGCTTCTGCTGTTTTTTTCGTTCAGGCATGTAGTAGAATTTCACATAGCTAGTCAGAACATTGTTTTTGCATCAAATTGGGTTATTATTAAATCAAATTATGTATATGAAATTATATAACTAAATGATATGTAGTGATGATGATAGTATGATATGATAGTAGCTCTAGCGGCAAATCAACCATCCACATCAAAAACTGCAGGACAGCCCACAATTCCGAAAACAAATCAATTTCAGAAACAAATCAAAAGAACAAATAAACAAATACTACTAATCCAATTATTCTGTATGCTGCTCAGAAATAAAATATATTGTGTTCTGTGGAAAAAAGTAGTTTTTTAAAAGACATTTAAAAATAGCACATTTTAGAGCTGTAACAACAATTCCACGATACCGTGAAATCGTGATATTTTTGCTTAAGGTTATCATACCATCAAAATCTCATACCGGCCCATGCCTAGTTGATGTATGAACAAAACTTCACTAAACAGCATTGTGAGCAAAATTAAACTTTTATTTGAAGTGTTCATTATTAAAGCTCCAGTCCGTAAGTTTTGCCTCTGTCGCCATCTCTGTTTGAAACCTGCAATTGCATTTATTTGCAGAATTAATCATCTTTACGTGGGCTGTGCATCAGCATGGCTCCTGAGCGCGGATGAATCTAATGTTTTGAGGAGTATGTGTGGCTGTCAGTCACTGCACCGGTGTGGATATTCACTGTACTTCGGAATCACAGATTCTACGTCTTGGAAGTATGAACCAACTCAACTCAACTTTTATTTATAAAGCACTTTCAAAACCATTAGAATGGACCAAAGTACTGCCCATAAATAATAAATAAATAAATCTCAAATTCATACAAACATAAAATAACAAAACATCACATCAAGAAAATCATGCAGCCAATCACTCACAATTCTCCGACCTAATCCAAATGCCGAAAGCTTGATAAAATAAGTAGGTCTTCAACCAAATAAGAATTTTTGCCAGAAAATGCCATCTGAACAAGTAACATGTCTGCCACTTTTTTTCTGACCAGCTGAGGAAAAAAAACATTACAATAAATCGTGCTACCAATGGCGATTAAATCTAACGATAGTTTAGCTCATAATCACATCAAACCGTGCAAATTATTATTATACTTTGTTCTCAAATTCTTAACGTTAACATCAGCATTGAGTGACTACGTGTATTTAGTGTGTATTAGCGTTACCTGTAGATTTCAGTTTCTGTCTAGTCTAATCTCTAATTGTCATACCATTCAAATTTCATGTAAAGACTTTTTTCTTTTCAGCAAATTAATGTTCCTTAGAACTGGTTCTCTTTGAAATACAAATCTTGTGTAATCCCACATATTTGTAATCAGATGCACATTTAAAACGGGAATTTTTTCTTTCTGTAACCACTCCACGGTCCAAAGTCTTTTGATTTTGACTAGGGATGTTCATTTTGGTTATTTTTCCTAACCGACGTTCGTTAACCGATTGTTAACCATTAACCGACAAGATTATTTTAAATTAGAATTGAATTAAATTAGAAAGGATAAGTGTCTGTGACCCGTTAAAAATACTAACATTTGTTTCCCAGGGATTAATTTCCCCCCCAAAAAAACAAAAAAATGTATATGCGTAGCGTATTTAAAAGCATGCAGAAAACAGTTTTTAATATTTTGATAAATTACTGAAAAAATTTATAATTAAATGACTTTTTAAACTGTTTAACTGATTGTATTAATCGGTCAAAATTCTTACCGTCGATTAACCGGTTAAAATGAACATCCCTAATTTTGACTATGGGTGAATCTCCAGTTGTCACTGATGATTGTCATTTGGACCTTTCTGGATTACAATCGCCATCAAAATAAGTTTAATTATTCCAGCTGCTATGAGAAAAGACTATACATGATCTGCCACCTGCTGCATCCTCACATGCGATATAGCCTACTAGCTGGGACTCCTTCTTTATGTTTACAGACGTGACGTAATGTAATGCAAAGATGAATGGTGGCAAGCTCGTATTTCCTGCAGAAACCTACCAGTACCACTCAAATTAGAACACATTACAAGCTTACCATTGTGAATCGGGCTAAGGCAAGGAGGTAGTTTTGAACACTAGCTAGATATGTCCTTGCTCAAAAATAGATTTTGGACAATTTTTAACCAAAAAAAAAAAAAGTTACAAACTGCAGCTTTAAATACATTTGACTAATACATCCAGAAAAAAATAAAAACCTATTTTCATTTTTGGTTTTCATTTAAATTAACATTTTTGTTACCAAAGCCGAAATTAAATTTATTTCGGAGCATCACAAGTTTACCCTTCTATAAAGTCCTAAAATGTTTCTTTCTGTGAGATAACTGAGAACTATCACAGCAACAAATGTAGCAACAGGTTTTACCTTCGTCCAAGGGTGTGCTTTGATCTGTGGGAATTTAAACTCTGTGTAGTTGGGGTTCATCTCTCGGATCTGTTCTCTTGTCGGGGTCCCCAAAACCTGCAGAGGGTGGACAGAGAATTAAGACTTGTGTCTATGCTTACTCTTATAAACACAGCAATGTAGATTCACTCACCTTGATGATCTCCACTAACTGGTCCACTCCACTATCACCGGGGAATATGGGCTGTCCCAGAAGCAGCTCTGCTAATACACAGCCAGCTGACCAGATATCAATGTTGGATGTGTAATCCGTGGCTCCGAATATTAGCTCGGGAGCGCGGTAATACCGCGAACAGATGTATGACACATTGGGCTCCCCACGAACTAACTGTTTTGCACTGTGGAGATCACACAATAGAGGATTATAAAAATGTTATCAAAAATACACACATGTAAAAATTATATAGTGGGCTGCATATGAAGGCGTACAATTGGCAAACTTACATCATTGCTGAAAAAGAGAGTTGCATTATCACCATTTTGGAATCAGACCAAGGCTCTTCGAATCTAAATCAAATTGCAAGATTCCCACCCCAGGACACAAATGCACACAAGCTTGCCACACAGGCCAAAACTTTCTGTTACTAGCAGATTGTAGTGTAAATGCCCCAAAATACTTCAAGCATAATCAAAGAACGAACTAGTGTGATGTCATTTCAAACTAAATCAGAACAAAACAAAGTTAATTTGTTTCAGAGTTGCCAAAAGCAAACTTTCTGGCTGGCAAACACCTTTGAACTACCACTACCATTTTGTTATTGAGGGGAAAGTGCAAAGCACATATTTACATATTCAGATAAACTATGATCTTGGGTGTGTTTTAAATACATTCCACACAGAGAAGTGTCAGGACACACACCTGCCAAAGTCACACAGTTTGAGTACAGCTGTGTCTGGGTCCACCAGGAGATTCTGTGGCTTTATGTCTCTATGGCAGACGCCTTGGGAATGAATATATGCCAGACTGCGAAATAACTGATACATATACACCTGAGAAAGAAAAGACAGATTGTAGGGAAGGAATGACAGAAGGAGAGAAAGAGATGTTATTGTTTATTGTGCATGTACATATGAAAAGCAGTCATGACTACACAGAGACTTACTTTGACATAGATAATGGGGATGGTGGTCTTGGACTTGTTGAAGTGGCGTGCCACCCTGTACACGGTTTCTGGTACAAAATCAAGCACCAGATTTAGATACACTTCATCTTTCTGAGGAGAGAAAGAGAGAAGGCAGATTAGATTGTTCAACAAAGATAACATTCTTCAAATATAAATTATTCACGATGACAAATTAAGATCACTGGGATATAAAAACTCAAAGGTTGGATAGAAAAATAACCTTTTCTCCACTGGAGTAGAAGAAGTAGCGTAGCCTGACAATATTACAGTGGTCCAACTTCCTCATTATCTGTAGCTCACGGTTCTGTGGAGAAAGAAATGATGTGTGAAGGACGGTAAAGTCACAGCATGAAAATCAAACATCTTATTTAATGCATTCATCTATGAAAGTTTGTTTCTCTGACTGTGCAGCCTATTTAAAACTAGTGCTGCATATATTATATATTTCATTAAATATATAGTTTGCACAAGAGATGTGCGGATCAGCTCAAACCTCACCGAATCCTCTGCTACAAATAAATTATCCACAAAGATTATAATTCTTAGTTCTGCATGATATGGTGAATAGATGGTTCTTTTTTAAGAGCAGATTCAGTGGCGTTACAGCTGATCTGCACATCAATGCACACATCTGAGGCGCATTACGGCTCCGACATGGCCACCGGAGCTGATCGCGGCCACTAGTCAATGCTCGTGTTTATACCAGCGACCTCACGTTTCAGAAGGGTCCCAGAAGCGGCTCTCCACGATGCTTCACTAAAGATAGGCACGTAGTCTATTTCTGACGGACGCCATGCTTAAGCGGCACATAATTAGATAATTGAGGATGTAGGTTAAATGACTAAAAAACAGCTACAAATCTTTTATCCTTGTCGTTCATAACTAGACTTTTAAGTAGGCTTACATTAATTTTGTCTGTAATCTACAGCACAACAAAGTAGGACATAGCAATAAACAACAATAAACACAATTAAACTGGACAAAACATTTAGCCAACTAACCCATGGCAGAACCTCCCAAAAAATAAGAATAACATGGAAGAATCAAGAAAAACTACATCGGACAGTCAAATCTCATGGTCTTGCGAATCCAGTTGCTTCGCTCCTGGTGTGAGTTGGCACCGCGTGGAGGACGGAACAAAACCTTGTCAGAGCCGTAAGGGGTAATGGTAAAAATAAAATAATATGCTGATCATAGACTGCTTTTAAATTAACTTTTATTTATAAGCCTACACTTTCTTAATAGCATAAACACAGGTTTTACTCCCTTCAGACTTTAACTGTAATGTCACCGCTTCGGTCACTGCAACTTCCCAAGCAGAAAACACACACACAAATGAAATTTGTGTCTGTCTGCCTGATGAAAAAATTTATTTAGAAAAAAAACCTACAATATTAAAAGGTAGTTAATATTTGCATCATTAATGATCAATCAACCTCATCCACCCGCGACCCAACCGCAATTACCGTATTGGCCCGAATATAAGACGACCCTGATTATAAGACGACCCCCCTTTTTCCAGATGTACCTTTTGGAAAAAGGCTTTTTAAAAACCAAATCTTGTTTTTTCTCAGTAAAACACATTTTTCCTATTTTAATTTTTGTTTTGAAAGTATGGTAAAAACTGGTAAAATGTACCAACAATCACATTTTAAAAATATACACTTTTTGATATGCCATTACAAAAAACAAAAACAAAAAAACAGGTAGCCCATCTGAATTAGGACATTTAGGCTATCCATCTAATAGTAGCCTACCAAAATCTTATTAACAGTAGAAGTTAAATCTTACTGTAGTCTTCAAATCTGGGTACGGTCTTACGTTTCAAAATCACAAAGGGAGTTTGGTCCCATCAGGCTAACGTGACAGTCACGACTCATGCAGCTGTTTTCTTATTCTTTTGTTTTTTCTCGCGATCTTTACAACACGCATTACATTACGTATTTCATGGCACACTCGTTTTATGCGTATTCGGCACCACCTATTTTTGTGGGTGTATTATTGACATGTCAAAGTCTAGACCCTGAATATAAGATGACCGCGTTTTTTCAGATGTATTTCCAAGAAATAAACATCGTCTTATATTTGGGTCAATACAGTAATCAATGTATTTTTTTTATTACCCGGCCCTCTGGATATAACAGTGACCCCGCATCACTAGTTTGCAAGCAATGCTCACTTAAAGGGGGAAGGCTGTGCCTTATTCTGTCTGTGAGACACTACACATACTCGTGATTCAGTGTTTTCACACTCAAGAGTGCTTCCATTTACATTTGGTATTAATGTGAGTCTCAGGTCTGAGATGAGACATATTGCCATTTAAAGCCTTACAGGTTTGTGGGGTGTGATTCATTAACATTGGTTGTGTATTCCAGGCTCACATTTGAGTAATTTCCAACATTTCTGGCTCCTACAAATTACTATACACATGTAAAAGTTACAAAAAAATCAAGTTTTGCAGACAGAATGAGGAGATTAAAAAATACTGTCAACTACCCATAGAAATACACAAATCATGCCAGCAATACAGTCTTGGGCTACAGGGTGATATGGCTGCCTACTTCTGCTCTAGCTTCTGTCAAGAGTACTGGACCAGTGCATGACGCCACTAAAACAGACTTACTTAAATATTTGTTGCCTATATACATTATTAGTGTCACTTTTAGTGTTAAGCATTTTTACGGTTAGTGATACTCGGGTACATTTAGATTTGTCCATCCAAAACAAAAAAGTAACATTTATTTAATTTCCCTTGGAAAATAATGTAATATCTGCGTGATAACACATAGCAGTTTGACTGCTATGTCAAAATTCTTGGCATAATAAATGTGAGCGAAAATTGTGATGTATGAGAAGCAGAGCGTTGCTGTGGGATGTCCATGTAGTCATTATATGCTGCAAACATGCTCCTCATGGTAAAATCACAGGAACATTATGCTCTGACAGTATTAATTATAAATCTACCATGTAATTTCAGCTGATAAAAACATGAGTAATTGTTCTAATCAGCTAGTAAGTGTGATGTAAAAAGAGTCACATGCACCATTTATGGTTAGTTTGTGGTGCTTTGCATGCTTTTAAGCCTGTAATCACCTGTCCTCATTCATTGTAATTGCTGAGCAGCACATTCTTTAAAATTTCTCCTTTCGCACTCCATGGAAGAAAGTCAATCAGGTTTGGATCGACATGAGAGAGAGTAAAGTGTGAAATATTCCTCAAAACTACTCCTGCATGCCTGAGAGGTCTTTATATTCAAAAGACATGAAAATATGAAGGTTACATCCAAGCAAACAGTCCAACACCAGCATTAGATCTACAACAGTTAGATCTTTTTGAACTCATCTCTGCCCTCTTATCCAGCACGCTGTGCCTGTTTGCCACTTTTTGACAGGTGTTAAAGGGTTAGTTCACTCAAAAATTAACATTCTGTCATTAATTACTCACCCTCATGTCGTTCCACACCCCTAAGACCTTCATTCATCTTCAGAATACAAATTAAGATATTTTTGATCAAATCCGATGGCTCATGGCTCCATTGACAGCAGCACCACCCAAACTCTCAAGATCCATAAAGGTACTAAAGACGTTGTTAAAACAGTCGACGTGACTACAGTGGTTCTACAATAATTTTATGAAGCGATGAGAATACTTTTTGTGCGCAAAAACAAAACAAAAATAACGACTTTATTCAACAACCTCTTCTCTTCTGTGTCATTCTCATACGTTGTTTACGTCCAGCGCTTCCAGGTTCTATGTCAGAACGCCTGCTCATTATTGGACTGCTCCTGCATCAGCATCACACGCATGCGTCGTGCTGCTCACATGTGCAGCTTTGGCCAATAATGAGCCGGCGTTCGGACGTAGAACACGGAAGCCTTCACTGTGCTTACTGTGTTAACCGCGTAAGGATAATGATGGAAGAGAAGAGATTGCTGAATAAAGTTATTATTTTTGTTTTGGCGAACAAAAAGTATTCTCGTCGCTTCATACATTTATTGTAGAACCACTGTAGTCACGTCGCCCGTTTTAACGACGTCTTTAGTACCTTTATGGATCTTGAAAGTTTGGGTGGCGTTGCTGTCAATGGAGGGCTCTCTGAGCCATCGGATTTGATCAAAAATATCTTAATTTGTGTTCTGAAGACGAACAAAGGTCTTAGGGGTGTGGAACGACACGAGGGTGAGTAATTAATGACAGAATTTTCATTTTTGGGTGAACTAACGCTTTAATAGTAATCCAACACCTGTGTTTAGATGCGTGTCCAAACACAACAGAACAACGGGTAGTGCTTATCACTAGGAACAGCAGAAACACCCTTAAGACCGTTTGAACACGGGTGGAGTCTACTAAAGTCTGACCACATTTCCACCTGTGTCCAAGAGCAGACCTGAATAATGGGGATGCCAGGAGACACACAGAGCCCCAGTGTGGTGTTTTTCCATCAGTTGCTGTCAGTTTAGATTTAGAGGAGGAATGACAGATTCACCATAACAAAAGCTTTGTTTTATTACATGGCAAAACTATTATTTTTCGGATCAAAGCAGAGCAGACAGTTGTTGTCATGCATGACACAGATGGATGCTGCTATTGACAATTTTTCATCAGAATAGCGCTGCTTTGAGTGGGATATGAGACAGTGTGGGTTGGCGGCCAATTTAAATGGCCACCACATAAAATGTCATTTTCTTAAATTCTTTACATCTGAGGTGGATATATTTTTATTCAGGAAGACAAGCTCATTAACTATGAGGGAAACATTATAAAAGAATACATTTCTACATGTGCATAAAACACTTGTGCCTTTCTAACAACCTGTCATGTGACTGAATAATTCTCTCAAAGCAAAAAAAATAACAAAAAAATCATCACATAGCAACAAAAATTATGCTATCGTGAATCTGAAATGCCAAAGCTCATCATTAAAAAGACAGCCTAGTATTATCCTCTAGGATGAGAGAGATGGATTCAGGCCGGTTAATGGCCAGTCACATTGTCATGCCTTCATTAATCATGTTTATGCCATTTAGTGGCTTTCAGTTATGAACTGAAGGATGATTTTATCACTGCTTCCAGCAGAAATGTGAATATGAATATAAAAATAATGTATTTGCAAATAGAAAAATTGAAATGGCAAAACTATTATTTTTCGGATCAAAGCAGAGCAGACAGTTGTTGTCATGCATGACACAGATGGATGCTGCTATTGACAATTTTTCATCAGAATAGCGCTGCTTTGAGTGGGATATGAGACAGTGTGGGTTGGCGGCCAATTTAAATGGCCACCACATAAAATGTCATTTTCTTAAATTCTTTACATCTGAGGTGGATATATTTTTATTCAGGAAGACAAGCTCATTAACTATGAGGGAAACATTATAAAAGAATACATTTCTACATGTGCATAAAAGACTTGTGCCTTTCTAACAACCTGTCATGTGACTGAATAATTCTCTCAAAGCAAAAAAATAACAAAAAAATCATCACATAGCAACAAAAATTATGCTATCGTGAATCTGAAATGCCAAAGCTCATCATTAAAAAGACAGCCTAGTATTATCCTCTAGGATGAGAGAGATGGATTCAGGCCGGTTAATGGCCAGTCACATTGTCATGCCTTCATTGATCATGTTTATGCCATTTAGTGGCTTTCAGTTATGAACTGAAGGATGATTTTATCACTGCTTCCAGCAGAAATGTGAATATGAATATAAAAATAATGTATTTGCAAATAAAAATGTGAACAATCAGTCTTTAGAAAGCAGAATGTTTGAAAAACCATGCATTGCATAACCAAATGTAAATACAGTAAATAGATAAATAAATACTGAAATCATTACTTTGACTTCAGATGAAAAGTGCTATCACATTTGTTGTCGATAAAAATCTGTTCTTTTACAAAAACGTTTAAATTGAGTTTTTCCCTTAACGGTTCAGGAATGGGCTGATAAAGGAAATGTTTTAACATCAATGCCTACCATTCGCGGGACTAATCATATTCTTTATATTTACTTTTAGTCATTTAGCAGACGCTTTTATCCAAAGCGATTTACAAATAAGAAAAATTTAAACTAAAAGCTTATTTTATAATATTTGCGCGAGATATACATTTTCCGAACAATTAATAATCCATAATAAATATTTAACAATAAACACATGGTGTGTTTTGAGATGTTTTATTATTAATGAATGTATTGGTTGTTTAGGACCTTAGATCAGCAGATGTAGCCTCTCATTCATACCAAACAGTATACCCTAGCATCCAACAGCTAGTTTGACTGACAGTCTTTCTAGCCAATCAACGCGCTGCACAAGCCACACGTGGTTCCTCCACGGGGCGGGGCAGCACGCGCAGCGCAAGGAACAGAGGCCAGACCAGACAAACGCTACATTTCCACATCCACCATCGTCTTTACGTCAAATCATTTAACAATCAGTGCGACGCGCTGAATAATACTGGTTCGTTGCGGTGAGAAACGCACTGTGAACACCGGAAAGCTTCCGCGGGGCCGACGAGCGCTGCACGAGGTGAGGTTCAGAAACGGCCGGGGAAAGAAGGCCTCCCTTCAGCGCTCTTAGACCTGCGGGGAAAAGTGAAGAGCGCCGCCTGACGACCGCCATACAGCGGGGTGGCTAGCTCAGGAGACAGCGGGGCGCGCCATAAGCTCTGGTAAAATCTGAAGAGCGCCACCAACTGCTCGCCAAAAGGTGAGCCGCTCGTCTGAAACCCGCTCAAAATGCTGTTGTCTGTTTGTACCGATTCCGCCACGACTAGTGCTAGAAGTTTTACATGATTCTCGGGTGTATTATCAATCCTGTTGCTTTTAACACCTGCATCTGTACCACATTTGTAATGTTCGTCATATTTTTCAGATTTATTAATGAAGAGAAATTACTGAATTGTGGACTCTTTATATCACGGAGCTGCCACATGTTATGCATGGACTTCATTATTATAATTAATGCATACGTGTCATAGGTTACCGGATTTAATAATTGTTTTTATAAATATCTGATCATGTTTACAAAAAGTAGGGTCACAGCTGTGAAACCTAATAAAACGAATTGAAATATTAATAGAAACATAAATATATGTGTGTGTATTATATATATATATATATACCACATTTGTAATGTTCGTCATATTTTTCAGATTTATTAATGAAGAGAAATTACTGAATTGTGGACTCTTTATATCACGGAGCTGCCACATGTTATGCATGGACTTCATTATTATAATTAATGCATACGTGTCATAGGTTACCGGATTTAATAATTGTTTTTATAAATATCTGATCATGTTTACAAAAAGTAGGGTCACAGCTGTGAAACCTAATAAAACGAATTGAAATATTAATAGAAACATAAATATGTGTGTGTATAATATATATATATATATATATTATACACACACATGATTTTGTTAACATAACTACATTTAAATAATACTTGGACTTTTGCTGAGGCCCTTTAATTGAGAAGCACTGGTCTGAGGTGATCTTAGTGGTATTATATGATTGAATTATAAAATTAAAGATTGAAATTGTACATTTGTGTAGCGATAATCTCAAAGTTTTGCAATTTTAAAAACTAAATGGCACGTTAAGTTGTGTGACACGTTTTGTCCCATATCTCAATGGTTATATATATTATATTTGTAATATCTATATAATTAGTGGTCTGTGGGAATCTGTTCCTGAATGATAGGTTATGGTATCTAATATAAATGTGCAAGGCCAGATAATTTGTAATACAATGTAAATTACAATGTTAATTTCTTTTTTTATATATGTATGTTTCAAATTGTAAAAATGTAGTATATTCCTGTGTTGGCAAAGCTGAATTTTCAGCATCATTACTCCAGTTTTCAGTGCCACATGATCCTTCAGAAATCATTCTAATAAGCTGATTTGGTGCCCAGGAAACATCTCTTATTGTTGTTGAAAATGTTGTGCTGCTCAACATTTTCTGGGAAACTGTGATACCTTTTTTCAGGATTCTTTGATTAATAGAAAGTTCGATATGATTTTTTTGTAACAATGTAAAAGTCTATTATCACTTTTGTTTACAATAAATGCATCCTTGCTGAATAGAAGTATAATTTAAAAAAATCTTAGATATTTTAGATATTAGATATCTTATTTTGACAGAAATTCTAATATCAGCTAATAACTCTGGTCAGTAACACAGTAATGCTGTTTAATAGAGAAATGTGTTTCTATTTAAACAAATCAATTATTAATATCATCAATACCATCTACACCGTGATTGCCACAGTGTCAGGTTCTTGAGGTGCTCAACAAACAACTTGTACATACTGCAGAGTAATATATTTATCTTGTGATCTTTTTAGCAGTTTCTAATTTAATTGTGGGTTCTGTTTCAGGAATATGTTCTTCAGGCAGATGGTTCAGTCACTCCGGTTCAGTTGCTCAATGTTCAAAATCTAGTTCTGGATGAGCAGAAGGCAGGCCAGATCCTGACCTTAGCCCAGGTCTGTTTACATACATACAGCTATACACACACAACAAATACATTCTTTAAAGAGGGTTTGTTTTACACCATGATCGAACTAGGAGTGATGTGATAAAAGCTATATTAGATTTTTGTTCACGTCACAGTGGGGTCCATAGTGATAGGATCAGGTTTTCCCCCTCTCAGTAATTCAGGAGTTTCAGTGTGACAATGTCTGGGCCTATTTCCACATTGTTTAGGATCTTACAGGTCCCATATTTTCAAATTTACTTTTGTTGCCTTTACTTTTCAGGCTCTTCGAGAGCAAGAAAACCCATCTAAAACTGCAGCCCCTCCCAGAACTATGCTAGTGCCAGCCAACGCTTCCCTGCCTGGCTCCACCTCTGCGATGCTCCGCCTACAGTTCTGCTCCGCCCAAGCAATCGCTGATGGTTCAGCTTCAGCTACTCTCCGCAAAGCTAAACTCCTCTCCCCTCTCTTACCTGCTGGTCCTATCCGGCTGGACAATGTAACCACTTTTAACCTCCTCCCTTCCTCTGGTCAGGTGAACACATTAAATAAGGAAAATGAGGAGATTTTAATTATCCATCCTTATGAGTGTTCTGAGTGTAATCTGCTGTTTAGCACACCAGAGGATTTCCTTCAACACCAAGGGGAGCACTTCTTAGGCCAGGACAAAGAGAGTGGGGACACTGGGGTGATGGTGGGATATGAAGATATTTCTGGGGCTAAGGAAGATGAAGGAAGAAGTGATGGATCTGAAGAGGGCAGCAAAGTTGGCAAAGTTATTGCTGGGAGGCGTACATACACTGCCCGCTCGGCTGGTTTGGGTTTGACGCCGTCAGCCAGCAATCTTCGGTGTGAGGAGTGCAAAAGAACATTCACCTCTGCCAATCGGCTTGTGGCACACCTTCGAGTGCATGAACAAGGAACACATGAGTGCCCAGAGTGTGATAAAGTGTTTAAGAAGTTGGTGTCCCTTCAGACTCACATGCGCACACACTCTGGTGAGGCACGCTTTCTGTGTGTGGACTGTGGACATGGTTTTACCACAGAAATTACTCTTATGATACACAGGTAATAACAAATACAAACTGTGTTGTCAAACTTCAAAACTCTTGTCATCAAACCTAAATTTCATCTTGCTTTTCCCGCTTTAGGAAATCCCATACATCTGAGCCACTGCACAAATGCCCATTTTGTGCCAAAACCTTCACCAACATGACCAAGTTCTTGTACCATCGTCGCACTCACAGAGTACATGAGCCGACCGCAACAGTCTCTCAGGTAATAGTTGACTTAATAAACGAAATTAGCTAATGCACAACATCAGTATCATATTGGTTATCAGACAATATTAGAGATTTTGAAATGTATTGTTAAATGTATCCGTATTGGTCAATATTTTATATATATTATATTATTACATTTAGAGGCCTTTGCCCTCATCAAAATTCAATTTGATGTTGAAAAACACTAGGGATGCACCGATATTCGATTCTGTCCAATACTGATATGATAATTATTTTCTCGTTTTGGCTGATAATCAATAAATACCTCATATTAAAATGTTATACTAAATTGTCTAATGTAAATACAAAAAATAAAAACTTTAAAACTTGAAATCAGTTGTTTAAATGATACAAGGGAATATAGGCATAATAATGTACACAATAAAACAACAATGTTCATAGTATAGAAAAAATGGTCATGTACAAATAAATATTCAGTATTGGTGATGCATATAGAATATTTCACATTTAAAAATTCATAATTTAAAAAATCTGTAATACCTTCAGATACCCAATAATGTACAGACATATAGTTCATTCTTAAAAAGCACCAATAACTTAACTTATTATTATGAATTATTATAATTGATTTATTACACATTTGCACTGAGGTCGTGCGATTTAAGAAATATAAATGTTTAAAAAGATGTACACTAAGTGCTATTGTTCATTTTATCCATAAAAACGTCAGAACCTAATAATTGCACAAAAGCCTATTATATACTTTTTTCCTTAGAACGGAACTGAATGTGAATGTTTTAACTAAGAAACAAATGTAAGATTAATTCAAACCTCTCCCCTCTGCAGTTTGTACTGGCCCAGCAGTCACCTCTCTCTATCATTCAAAGAGCAAGAGAACGAGAGGCTGCTTGGAGGAAAGAAAGACAAGCGGTGACTATTCCTCCTGTGGAAGATGACAGAAAAGAGTCCAGTGGCACAGAAAATGGGCTTCATGCTGAACCCTCAAACACAGAGCAAACCCAAAATGGAGGGAAAATACAGGCAGACGACCCTAACCATTCAACTGCTGCCAATGTGGGAGGAGGAGGAGAGGAAGAAAGTAAACTTGGGACTCTTGCTGCTGAGGAAGAGCCAAAGTTCCCTTGCTCTATTTGTAAAAAAAGATTCTCCTCACAGGTTCATCTGTTGCGTCATCGCCGAACGACTCATACGACCGAAAGGCGCTTTAAATGCAACATCTGCGGGAAACCGTTCAAGAAGCAGATCCATCTGCGAAACCACCTGCGCACACACACGGGCGAGCGTCCGTTCCAGTGCAGCGTGTGTGGAAAGACCTTTTCCTCTCTTGCAAATCTTTCCCGCCATGGACTTACACACACGGGAGTCCATCCGTACCGGTGTGACATATGCCACAAAGCCTTCAGCCAATCGTCAAATCTACGCCAACACCGTCAGCATCTTCACAGCAACACAACGCCCTCACCCTGTCCAGACTGCTCTGCTACTTTTATCCGTCCTGCTAAATTTGTAGCTCATCGTTTTCTTCACCACCCAGGGTCGCCGGCACCTTACCCCTGTCCTCATTGTTCCGAGGGGTTCTTGCGCAAGCGTCAGCGAGACCTACATTGCCTGGAAGAGCATCCCAACCTGACACAGCCACATGGCATCTCCCAGGACTCCCAGGTTAGCAGTCAACAGGGCGCGACGGATAATACAGAGCAGCTAAGCACTCCTTCGATGGCGAGACCTAATCTGGATTGCACTATTTGTGGCAAGAGGTTAAACTCTCCTGCAAATCTCCGCCTGCACCAGCTAAGTCACGGACTTGGGCCCGGCCGGCCACGAGGCTCCAGCTCTGCCACTGGGAAGTCTCATCCCTGTCCGGTCTGTGGAAAACTTTTTGGTTCAGCCTCAAGCGTTACACTACATCAGAGAGTACACACCGGTGAGCGTCCGTATCCTTGTGCGATCTGCGGAAAACGGTTTCGCCAGAACACACACCTGCGGGAGCACCTTCGCACGCATTCGGGCGAGCGTCCGTTCCGGTGCGAGTTCTGCGATAAGGGCTTTGTGCAGAGCATGCATCTGGCAGAACACCGGCGTACACACACGGGCGAGCGGCCGCATGCTTGCGGTGAATGTGGAAAGACCTTCAAGACGGTTTCGAACCTTAGGAACCATCGTAAGACCCACACTCGCACCCAAAAGCAACAAGAGCCAGAACACAACGCAGAAGCAGTGACTGCAGAATGTAACACAGCAACTTTTGCTGTTGTGGAAGCTTCTGAGATGGACCTGGCAGCCACGGTACCAGCCTTCTGCCAGCAAGAGGTGCAGCTTGGACAGCCCCAAGTCATTCAAATACAGACATCCAACCTGACACAGGTAGGAAGCTGTTACTTCTATGTGTTTGAGCTTGGAGAAAAAACTATTGCAAAGGTTGGAAAAATAAAAGGGAATCAACTCTTCTTTAATAGCCTTTTCAGCTCAATACAGCTAATCATTAATTCACATCTCGTTCGCTCACTATAGTGATGGATGCTCAGTTTCAATAAATGGGTTAAAAAAAAATGATTGCAGCTGTTCTTTTACATCGTACGTATTTCTAACAACTCAGTATCATGGTGTGTCATGCAGAAACTTTCAAATAAAGCCATATGTATGAACATGTATTGCTGATTAAGATGATTAACTTTCATTTACTCAAGTTACTGCATGTCGAATAACATACAACATACACTCGCACCCAAAAGCAACAAGAGCCAGAACACAACGCAGAAGCAGTGACTGCAGAATGTAACACAGCAACTTTTGCTGTTGTGGAAGCTTCTGAGATGGACCTGGCAGCCACGGTACCAGCCTTCTGCCAGCAAGAGGTGCAGCTTGGACAGCCCCAAGTCATTCAAATACAGACATCCAACCTGACACAGGTAGGAAGCTGTTACTTCTATGTGTTTGAGCTTGGAGAAAAAAACTATTGCAAAGGTTGGAAAAATAAAAGGGAATCAACTCTTCTTTAATAGCCTTTTCAGCTCAATACAGCTAATCATTAATTCACATCTCGTTCGCTCACTATAGTGATGGATGCTCAGTTTCAATAAATGGGTTAAAAAAAATGATTGCAGCTGTTCTTTTACATCGTACGTATTTCTAACAACTCAGTATCATGGTGTGTCATGCAGAAACTTTCAAATAAAGCCATATGTATGAACATGTATTGCTGATTAAGATGATTAACTTTCATTTACTCAAGTTACTGCATGTCGAATAACATACAACATAAAATATGATTAGCTTATGTCTTCAACATGTTTCCTACATTAAAGCCAAGTGATATTAGGTGAACATGTTCCTCTGATGTTGAAAAGAAAAGAAAACAACAGTGAGGAATCGATTCCACAGCCAGTTCCAGAACCATGAATCAGAATCAATTGATTCCAATTTTTTTTTTGCATTTTTGGAAACCGCCCTACTGTGTGTGAGTTTGGGTCGTTGCTAGTTCTGCATATTAATTTTTGGTACAAAAAATAATTTAAATTTTTTTCAACATTTCAGACTCATGGAACTCCCACTATCATGTGTAACGAGCTTGGAGAGACTATAGCCATCATTGAGACGAGCGGAGACCTGGCAGAGGCCATCGAGCTGTACCACACGGCATTGGAGAGTGGCATCAGCATGGAGGCCATCACTGTGGACAGCCTGCAGTTAATGTGAGAGAAGTGAAGAACAGGGCAGCATTCCTGTGGCCATCGTCTTGGAGATTTGAAGATTGCGATTAAAAGAAGAGCATAAGTGATGTCAGATGGGTCAGAACAAGTGAAAGCAGAGATTGAGAGAAAGTGTTCCAAATTCAAGACGTTCTATTCATTTCCATTAAAGTCATTGAATGTGTGAACACGCGCACCTCAAATAGCCGCTTTCAGATATTTTTCAACCTTATTTTCAATTTTTAAAAGACATTTTTTAAAATTTCAGTTAATCTTAAGAGGGCTGATTTTAGAGGATGCATCTGACTGCTCAGATCTGTGATTAGATGGCTCCTGTTTTGGGACTAGAAATGGACAGTCTGTTTTACTGATGACACTCTTGTTCTGGCATTTGGACAGAGCCAGATGTAGGGTATAAAGGCACAGATTTCTAAATGAAAGAATTTCACGCATGGACCGTAATGATTTCCGGTTAACATTCTAACCTGCAGTTGTTGCAAGGAGGTAGTTTAAGGGCATTGACCTGACGAACAAAACAACAGGGAAGAGAGAGTTCAAAACAAGTAATGGACAGACATTATGCACCATCACCGCAATGGACACAAGATTCCCATGTGTTACATCTCCCGGTCTGTACACTGACTGTTTGTAGCATTTTTAATGTTATGATGCTGATTTGGAGAAGTGTTGCAAATAAACAGTTTCTCTGTTTCCCTTGTAATTGCTTTGAGGAAATAACAGCAATAACGACATCACCTTAAAGGGATAGTTCACTCAAAATTGAACATTCTGTCATCATTTCTTCACCCTTGTGTTGTTTAAAACCTATATGACTTTCTTCTGCGGAACAAAGAGAAGATATTTTAAATGTTTCAACGTTCTTAGTAGATGCAGGGCAGGTCAAAAGGGGACCCCAGTGACTTTCATTGTATGGACAAAAACCACACTGAAGACATTTTTGAAAATAACACTTTTGTGCTCTGGAGTAAAATCTATTTAAATCTGTTTTGACATTACATGGAATTCATTAGTCTCTTCATACTGCAATTGGCTTTGTAGGTTAAACTTTTTTACAGGTAGCAAGTCAAGAAATGTGATAAACTAACCACAATATACCCATAATGTAACTAGTACCTGCATATAGAAACACCCAATCATTCCTTTATTCTTAATGTTCACATCTAATAACTCGATGTACTATTCAGCCATTCTCTAACTTTCAGAACTCGAAACTTCATACACAAAAGTAGATCAGTGAAGTTTTACACATAATTGTAGCGCTTCTTCCTCAATCTTTCTACTTATAATGAAGAGTCTGTTTCTTTGAACATCTATTTATTTGTTTACTGAGAGATACAGTTAAAATGGAAAGCTTATCGGTATAAAGTCTTTCTCGGATATGTAAATCAGCAAAACAAGGGAACACATTAAGAACAGTTTCTAACCATATTTCTTTATTTCTCCTTTTGTTATACAATTTCATTTCTTGTTACTGGCTTTGTTTCTTCCAATGAGGTTTCTGCTCTTTATTGTGATTCTTGAGTCTTTGGACTCTTACTGTATTTATGTACAACAAAGACCAGTGCTGCAAGAGAAGATCACCATCGATGGCCTCCCAGTCTCACCTCACAGCCTTAAAGTGATTGAGGAAAGAACCATAAAGTGACAGGAAGAGGAATGAGAAAGGGGAGGAATGTAAGTGGCAAACCGAAATAATAAAAAATGTACAACTACCAGAAAGATGTTTGGAGTGTCTAACAACAAAGGATTATGTAATTACTTCCTGGTAAGAAATAAAACATTGTGAATATCAATATAAAGAGTGAAAGAAAAATGTCTATTAAAAAAAAGGTAGTGGAAGTGCCTCTATGTGTGAGGGAAGAGCTGAACTCATCCCTCCGTTTCTGCTAAAGAAAGAGTATATTAATAGGAATACAGTGTATATATAGGTTATAAGGATCAGATCCACAAGAACAACAAAGCATTAAAGGGGTCATAGGATGCCAATTTTCCACAAGCTGATATGATTATTTAGATTCTTAATGAAAAGTCTGTAACAGTTTGTTAAAATTTCCCGTTTTTGTAGCATTTTCCTTTAAATGTTAATGAGCTCTGCTGACCCCGCCCCTCTCTTCCGAGCCGCTCTCTGAGGGACTGTTTACTTTAGCCGCATTCAACGTGAAACCAACAAAGCATTAAAGGGGTCATAGGATGCCAATTTTCCACAAGCTGATATGATTATTTAGATTCTTAATGAAAAGTCTGTAACAGTTTGTTAAAATTTCCCGTTTTTGTAGCATTTTCCTTTAAATGTTAATGAGCTCTGCTGACCCCGCCCCTCTCTTCCGAGCCGCTCTCTGAGGGACTGTTTATTTTAGCCGCATTCAACGTGAAACTTAGCACATTATTAGGAAAGGCGATTTGCAAAGATTCATTATACTCACTTCTTCTGTAGATGAGGCTGGATCATGAATGATTCGCGCGAACATAGACGCATTTATGTAGATCGGGGAGCAAAAAACAAACGTAATCCACTGCGAGTTCAGCGGCTCAGATGTCTGGAGTAAATAACGAATGCTATGCTCATTATTACATCCAACAACAGAAGACCTCAATCGCTTATCATGTCATTCTTGTCTACATCTGCTCCGGCGGTGAAACAATGGAGGACTGATGGCAGCTCACTCAGGGCGGGTCTAAGGTAAGACGCCAGTCCAGTCGGTGCTGAAATGCTACTGTCAATCAAACTATCATGGGAGGGGCTTGTCTGTGTGATGTCGCACAGACAGGCATCTGAGATCGGCTCGATTTGAGAAAGGGGAAAACATTTAACCAGATTAAAAAAAAAACACTGGGTGGATTTTTATCATTATAGGGTGGTTGTGTACACACACTGCAAACACACATTTCAGTTCAAACAACTTGTAAAAGTGCATGTAGTATCCTATGACCCCTTTAATAAGAACAGTAATAATGAGATTTTATAACCTGTAGCATTACGAGTTGAAAAATCAAGTTTCTCTAAAAAGTTAATAAAATTCTTATAGTAAATTCTTAAGAATATATTCCCAACATTCTCTTTGCTCCGTGCTTCACCAGCTCATGAAAAGTTGAATAAAAAAGGCAGGGAAAGAAATGTTTAAGTATGTGGAATCTCTTAATATATGGAAAAACATAAATCAATGGCAATAATGTGCCTGTTGACTTCCCTTCCATGACCTTTTTCCTTCATGGCTAACCAATCAGAGGCCTCAGAATGACTCCAGTTTGACTGACAACCACTAAAGCCAATCATCGGACGAAAGGTTTACGAATGGCAGCGCAGTTCAGAGTCCCTCACCAAAGGTTTTCAGTGCCTTAAAGCTCTCTGGGAAAAGTCTTCAAAAATTAAAACACCACAGAAGAAGAAAAAAAAATCTAAAATAAAAGGACAATAAGTCTTCATTATCACTTAAACTCAGCCAATGGAGGCCCGCCTCACAATGACTGGCAGTAACCCACAAACCAATAACAAAACACCTGTGGCCAAACTTACTGCCAAACAGACCTACGAACACAGCTCAGTCTGATGGGGACGCCCTCGCACGTCTCGCCTTTCTAGAGGCATCAGCAGCACTGCGACTTCACTGGCGTACAGGACAGGCCCACAGTCGTCTAGTTTCAAAGTCCAAAGGAAGCCTAATGACTAAGATAATGCTGTAAATTAAAGAGTGTATATTCAACAGTGTCTGTGTTTATGTAGGCAAGTGTCTGAATGTGTCGATGTTAGGTTTTCATAATTCAACATCACGTGAAATACTGAGAAGTTTCAAAACCCCAAAGCGTTTCGAGGCATCTCCCCTCATCTGCTCCATATCCATGAAAATTTTGCTCTTGCTTTTTCTCTCCAAGTCCTTCGGAGGCGGTCATAGCAGAGACAAGACAACAAATGTAGATCATGCAGATGTTGAGGGGAGACATCTGGTCTTCAAGCCATCCATCTGCCCATCAACCTCATCTGGTGGAGTCCTGTGAATCGCCAGCATTTCTGGGCTCCTCCGAGCTGTTCTGCTCACCCTCCCGCTCGGCCTCTTTTTCCTGAGGCTCTGCCCCAACAGTGATGTCACTGGCCGCCACCACCCCAGAAGGCCCCGGCAATGAGGATATATCTGAAGTGCCGGCCAATTCCGACGGAGCTGCCGTTTGCATGATCTTCTGCCGGACCTCTCGGATCTTGAGCTGTAAACACACCTTACTGGGGAAGATATCAGAGTATCGCGCCTGGAACGCAGCAGTAGCTTGAGCTATTGAATGAAGGAGAGGGGCGAAAGGGGGAGAGAAAGACAGCATTAGATGGAAGAAAATTATGAAAAGGATTTTTTTAATCTAATGCAGGGGTTTTCGGCCTTCATAATCTCAGAAGATGCGCCACTCAGCCAACTTAACGACTGGCAACATAAATCACAGCATGATGCTCTTAATAACAAGTTCTGACTTCGGTTTTGGTCTCTTTCTCACACAAAGGCATCGCAAGGCATCAGAAGTGCAAATGTTTTATGATGCATTTATGGAACTTTTTGAAGCGTCAGTCAATTCTTTTTGTAATTGCATGAAAAAGAGAGACCAGAATTTCTCTATTTTTGTTCAATAGACATGCTCGGAATGACGTGATGGTGAGAAAATTAGATGATGTTCATTTCATTCCTTTAAAGGGGTCATATGATGCTATTTTAAAGATCATTATTTTGTGTATTTGGTGTAACAGAATATGTTGACATGCTTTAATGTTCAAAAAACACATTATTTTTCAAATACTGCACATTATTGTAGGTCCTCTATGCCCCACCTCTCTCAAACGCGTCGTTTTCTACAAAGCCCCTCCTTCCGACAAGCACAGTCTGCTCTGATTGGTCAGCTGACCCAGTGCATTGTGATTGGCCGAACACCACAAGCACGCGTTGTAAATGTAACGCCCCTTACCATAATCGTGAGCTTCAGCTTTCAACATAAATATAAAGACAGTACATAACATCAACATTCTGATTCTGATTCTTCTGATTCTGATAACGTCCTTAGTTTTACCATCAGTTCAAGCCCGAAAGGGGAACAGTCGCGTGACAGACACAGTGATGTTGCTCATATGTATTTGCAGTACACAAGTCGCGATTAAGAAAGCCGACTCCACTGTGATGCTTTCCACATGTTTGTTAGACCATGAGAATGAATGTAAGCATAATGTTTGTTCACAATTAAATCCCACATTTTAATTTAGGGTCCTAAAAAAGTCAATTTTATTTTCCCCTAAATTCTGTTTTCCATTTTGCTTTTTGTGTTTTATGACTTATAATGTATCATCAAAAATGGTGTCTAATAAAGTAAATGAATAAAACCTTAAAAAATGTAATCAATCTTTTAAAATGTAATCAAATGAAAATATAACAATTAATTTACTACAAAGCGTTGGATATTTTCATATTTTTTCTCAAAATAAAATGCTGCACAACAAACCTGTATAAATTAAAACATGGATGAAAAATCTTGGTTGTATGATATTTCTTAAAAATAATAATAATATTATTATTTTTTCTTAGTAACACATTAGCAATATAGTAATATAAGATAAACGGAACTTATTTTATCTTTAATTTTTTTATTTCAGTGTGTATTTGACGGTAGTTTTTAATCCTTGCGAAGTGACTCAGAGCTGCTTGATGTTTCTTTTGATCATAAATTAAAAAAAAAAGAAAAATAAACAAATTATAATAGCTAGATTTAGAAATACATT